ATCAAGTTCAAACCATAGACAATAACTCGCATATTGCCATGTTTTAAACTGCAACTCACAGCACATAAGGGGGATAGGGAGCACGGGTTCATAGCAGAAACAAACAGAAAAAAATAAGATTAACATGCTAGTTTAAATAATTCAGAAGTAGTAAAGTAGGTAGGGATACAAAAAGCTGTAAATAAACACATTGTGACGATGCTGAAACTTAAATTAGAACATACCAGTTTCAAAGGAAACAAACAAAGAGAAAGTGCAGTAGTATTGTGAAAGCTACAGAATAGACAAGAAGAGAGTGCTAGTAAGAGTTCAGATGAGATTGTAAAGTAGTAGTGGAGGATTGTTAATCGTGTGTGCTATGTGTTAAAGAGTCGTGTATTTATAGTGTGAAAGTCATGAAGCAATAAGGTAAGAGAATAATTGATGAACTGATTGTCAATCAATTTACGTAAGATTCCCTTTAATTAAGGGATTCAGATTCAAACGGGTATAAATCAATTAAGGAAAGAAATTAATCAAACACTTTCTGCAAAGTGAGCAATTAGGGGTGAGTACATAAAAGTTATTTAAGGACGAGGTTTTGACAATACACGGTTTGTGCAAATAAGGTTAGGAGATCAATTAACAACCTGTAAATCAAAAGGGTACGAGAATTTGTATGAATGAACTAAGTCAGAAAGATGGAAAAGGGTTTTACTTGGGTCGAGTAACAGAGAAAAATCAGTAAACAATGGAAAGAAATCAATCAGGCTATATTCAGAAGGAAGCTTGAACTAATTTCAAATTCGAAAACCATTTAGAGGGAAATTCATCATATATAAAGAGCATGTGAGCATGAAAGAAGACTGGCATGTTACTGTAAAATCTATAGAGAAATCCAGTGTAGAAGAATTTTAGTAAAAAGGTAAAAATCACATGAAAACAAGGAAGCCCAAACTCAATTCAAAGACTCGAAGAGTTAGGGTTTCTAAAATAAAACCCTAGTTCAATCAAATATATGATCAAACCTGGCAGAACCCCCAAATTTTGGGGTTTCCGCCTTGAATCAAGTACATAGATGAGAAGGCAAGTGGTCGAAGCAGGCTCAGAGGTTTCAGAGAAGAACTGAAACCACTTGCATGCTTCTATCAACAGCAAAACTCATGAGAAAGCATGATATCAAGGTAACAGGCAGAACACAGTAGAAGCACTCGAAGAAAAATAGAGGAAAACACTGATAGGAGCAGTAAACATGCTTAAGAAGTTTTTCAAAAGAAAATTAAACAGGGCTTAGTAGAAGGAAATTAAGGAAACTTAAGAACTTAGCAAGAAAGTACAATAGGAGAAACATGCTGGAACATTGTAGAAGAAGAATATAATAGAAAAGCATATGAGAACACCGTACGGAAAACATGGTAGCGGAATATAAGAGCATGGAGCGTATAAAACACATACTAGAACGGAGTATGAAACTCAGTAGAAGAACATACAAGAACAGATATACAAGAACAAATATACAAGAACGTGGTAGATAAAAACATAGGAGCATAGTAGAGGTGAATACACAAAAGAAAAAGGAAGTCAGTAAAACACTTAAACATTTTTTCAGAAGACCCTAGATCGGAAAGAAAGATTTAAAAAAAAAATTCGAAAGAAAAGTTAGGGAAAGCGTTTGAAAAACTCAAGGAGAGCACAGATATACAACGAATCTAAAGAAATCAGAGAAAACCTCGGAGACCTAGGGTTTCAGAAGAACCCTAGAAACGAGAAAGGTTTTGAAAGGTCACCGATCTGAGTCGGAGAGGTCAGAAACAGGCTCAAACAACTATAGTACGCCGGAGCAAGGCCGGAGATGGCCGGAGAACTTCGAATCGACGGAGGTCTGGGTTCGAAACTTCAAGGTCAGGCCTCGAATCTGTAGGTATCAAGCATATAGGAGCAATAGGAGGTGAGTATAGGGCTCTCATAGCCTGGGAAGCCATGGATTCCGGTGGGTTTCACGGTGGGAGATGGTGAGACGATTAGGGTTCAGAGAAGGTTCGAGAGAGTTTGAGGGGGTGACGGGATTCAAAGGCGGCTGGTTAGGTGAAAATGATTTAGGGTTAAGGGGTGTTGGTGGATTAAAAAAGGAATGGAGGGATCGTGGCCGTTGATCATTTTGATCAACGGCCTAGATTTATTGGGGAGCCGGGCGGTTTGGATTAAATTGGGTCATGGGCGGGTAGTTTAGGAATTGGGCCGGTCCGATTGAGATTGAAATTGGGTTAATTGGGGGGGGGGGGCGATTTGGGCTAAAAATTGAAATAAATAGGGCCAGATTTTAGATAGCCACTTTTTCCCTTTTTATTTTATACAACAACAACAACAAACCCAGTTTGGTCCCAACAAGTGGGGTCTGGGGAGGGTGGTCTGTACGCAGACCTTACCCCTACCTAATGCAGGTAGAGAGGCTGTTTCCAATAGACCCTCGGCTCAGGAAGGGCAAGAAGAAGAAAAGGAAAGCAAGGGAGGAAGAAAGATGGAAGATAAATGAAGAAAAAAAAAGAAAGATACAGGATAAGTGGTACCAAATATTAGCAACAGGGAATACAATACCTGAGGCGAACAAAACCACATAACATAATAAAAGTCTAAGAATATGAAGGGACATGCATACTACTAAGACTATCGGTGAGCAACTATAAACTACCTACTAACCTTCTACCTTAATCCTCGACCTCCACACTCTCCTATCAAGGATCATGTCCTCAGTGAGCTGAAGCAACGTCATGTCCTGCCTAATCAACTCCCTAATACTTCTTAGGCCTACCTCGACCTCTTCTCAAACTCTCAATGGCCAACCTCTCACACCTCCTAACTGGAGCATCAATGCTTCTTCTCTTAACATGGCCGAACCATCTCAGCCTCGACTCCTGCATCTTGTCCTCCACGGAGGCTACTCCCACTCTGTCCTGGATATCTTCATTCCTAATCCTATCTCTCCTGGTACACCTACACATCTATCTCAACATCCTCATCTCTGCTACTCTCATCTTCTGCACGTGGGAGTTCTTGACTGGCCAACACTCAGCCCCATACATCATAGCCGGTCGAACCACCCCTCTATAAAACTTACCCTTAAGTCTTAGCGGCACATTCCTATCACACAAAACACTGAAAGCGAGCCTCCACTTCATCCATCCCGCTCCAATGCGATGCGCGACATCTTCGTCAATCTCCCCGTTACCCTGGATAATAGACCCGAGGTACTTAAAACTCGCTCTCTTGGGGATAACTTGAGCATCAAGCTTAACCTCTACGTCTGCATCATGGGTCCCATCATTGAGCTTGCACTCCAAGTATTCTGTCTTGGTTCTACTCAGTTTGAAACCTTTAGACTCCAAGGTCTGTCTCCAAACCTCTAACCTCGCGTTAACTTCGCTACGCGTCTCGTCAATCAACACTATATCATCGGCAAACAGCATGCACCCAAGGCACCTCCCCTTGGATGTGACACGACAATACATCCATCCCCAAGGCAAATAAAAATGGGCTAAGAGCCGATCCCTGGTGCAACCCCATCACCACAGGGAAATGCTCCGAGTCACCACCCCCAGTCCTCACCTTAGTCTTAGCATTATCATACATATCCTTAATCACACTAATATACGCTACCGGAACACCGCTAACCTCCAAACACCTCCACAGGACCTCCCTCGGAACTTTATCGTAGGCTTTATCAAGGCCAATAAACACCATATGCAAATCCTTCTTCCTTTCCCTGTACTGCTCCACTAATCTCCTTACCAAATGAATCGCTTCCGTAGTCGAATGCCCCAGCATGAATCCAAAATGATTTTCGGAAATAGACACGCACCTCCTCACCCTAGCCTCCACCACCCTCTCCCAAACCTTCATAGTGTGACTCAACAGCTTGATACCCCTATAATTGTTGCAATTTTGGATATCACCCTTGTTCTTGTAAATCGGAACCATCGTACTCCACCTCCATTCTTCGGGCATCTTCTTTGTCTTAAAAATAACATCAAACAGCCCAGTGAGCCACTCCAACCCTGCCCGCCCCGCGCTCTTCCAAAATTCCACCGGGATTTCGTCTGGCCCGGTTGCTCTGCCCCTGCACATCTTACGCATCGCCTCTTCCACCTCCTCCATCGTAATCCGCCTACAGTACCCAAAATCCCGCCGACTCTCGGAGTGCTCCAACTCACCCAGCACAATCTGTCTATCCCCCTCCTCATTCAACAGTTTATGGAAGTATGTCTGCCATCTTCTCCTAATAAGTTCCTCGTCCAACAACACTTTTCCATCCTCGTCCTTGATGCACTTGACTTGGTCTAAGTCGCGGGCTTTCCTCTCCCTTACCTTGGCCAACCGGTACAACCTCTTGTCCCCGCCTTTGCCCTCAAGCTCCTCGTACAAACGAGCAAATGCCGCGTTCTTAGCCGTCGTAACTGCTAACTTCGCCTCTTTCCTTGCCTTTCTGTAACATTCCCGATAAGTCCTTTTTTCCTCCTCGTTTGTACTCTCCACTAGCTTCAAATAAGCAGCTTTCTTAGCTTCCACTTTACCTTGAACCTCTCCATCCCTTTTTATTTCATAAAAGTAGTAAAATGATTTCTGAAAACAATTTAAACGTACTAAATTGATAATAATATATAAATATTGAATTAAAAATACCGGAATCAATTTTACAATTATAAACGCAATTAATTCTTAAAATAGGCTAATATTGCAATTACATGCAATTTAGCTTTAAAATAGTAAATAGATTTGTAAAAAATGTGCAAAAAATTACCTTAGCTATATTTTGGTATAAATATGAAAATACAATAAATGAATCACAAAAATGATCATTTGGGGAATAATCATTGATTTTATATTGATAAAATAGGGTAATAAATTGATTTAAAAATCTTTAAAAAAATTAGGGAAAATACTAAAACATTTGGACACACATATATATGCATACATATGCTATTTTGAAAGTATTTTGCACATATAAAAAATATTACAGGGTAAAATTGGGTATCAACAGCGAGTCATCTACATTAATTATCCCAAGTGATTCACTTGGGATATCACCCTCTATGTGGAGGACCTCGGAACTAGGCTCCTCGGGCTCGCCCGCCAAATGTCCCCCGAGACGAGACACATTTTTACCACCTAATGGCTCGGGGACTCTGCTCGAGCTCCCCTCCAAAATTTCTTCGGTTCGAGGTTGAACCGCATCAGCCACCATCGGCTCATCGGCTTTCGAAGCGTCAATGCTTCCTCTTTTCTGAGCTACCAATAGGCAGTCGTCATCTTCTCCCTCTTCCTCTTCACCCCGAAGGTGTTGGGCTATTTCGAAAGATAGGGCCACAGGATCGGCCCTAGGCTTTCGAGCTCAGCTTTTCTTTGGCTTCGGGGAACTTGCAGGTGACCCCCTCTTCCTCTTCTTTTCTTTGGTTGATTTTGGGAGTTCTTCTTCACCGGGCGGGGGCGGCCGCATAGCAATGGCGTCTCTGAGGCTTGCGTAATGGTAAAATGAGTATTCCATTAAGAAACATCAATATGTAAACAAGAGAACTCACCATGGTTTTTAGCTTCCCATCGACCCTTGGCCAAATCACGCTAGCTACGTTCCGCATATGAAGAAGTAGAGGCCAGTTGCCAGACCCAACCTGCGAGGTCCAGGATCACACTAGGAAGCCAAGCAACAGCTGCATCATCAGAAAAGAATTAGAACGAGGAAAGGTAGGGAAAGCAGGATATTAATCACCATCGATAAATTTGTACTTACGTTTCATGTTCCACTCCTCGGGGAATGGCATCCTCTCAGCAGGAATCAGATCGGAGGTCCTGACTCGGACAAACCGGCTCATCCATCCTCTATCCTTGTCCTTATCGATGCTGGAGAAAAGGGACTTCAATGATCGGCGCTGAAGCATTATCAGACAACTTTGATAAAGGCGAGGGTTGTATAGCATGATCAGGTGGCCGAGGGTAAAGGGGATCCCCTCGACCAGGCCCGAGAAATATCTGATCAATTGACTATGTGCCAGAAAGAAGGGTAGATCTGGCCAAGCGTTGCCTAGTATTATTGGCAAAAATCAAGAATCACTAGGTTTATGGAACCCAGAGCTGGATCTACGGGACCCAACGTGAAAGGGTAGGTATACACGCTTAAGTACCCTGCCTTATGGGTAGTGATGTCTTCTTCAGGGGAAGGGATCACAACATCTTTGTTCTCCTAGTTGCAGTCCTTTTATCACCTGCTCAAGTTCATCTTCAGTTATTATGCAGATGTATCGAGACATGGGTTCACATCGGCCTGGTGTCGATGCAGGTTTATCGATTTTGAAATCGGAAGTTAACTCGCATGGCCGGGGAATACTCTCCTCGATACGAGGTGGCACTATCGTCCTACCTCTGGCCGGTCGCGATGATGAAGCTTTTTCCTTCTGAGAAACAGTTTTAGATGTTTTAGCCATTGTGGTTAAGAAATTCAAGAGAAGAGAAGGAGTTGATGTTGTAGTAAGAACAAATTGAGAGAAGGGTGAACTCAGAGAGGTTGAAGAAGCTAGTGAGATTTTAAGGATGAATTGAAAAGTAAAGATTGCAAAAGTTGAGAAATTGGCCTTGTCACACCCCTTTTTTTCACCTCACTAAACCCTCTTAAAAATATTAATAGATTTGTAAAGCTCAAAAGGGTTTCAATTATGAAAAGTGACAAAATTGTGTTAAAAAGGATTTTTCCAGAGTCGCCACCTAGCACTGGGTTTCGGTGTGCCAGGTCACCGTTCAAAAAGCAATTTTTCCTTTCAAAACACATTTTGACTCTAGACATAGTCTGCACCAAAGTTTTAAGTAAGGGGGTTCATTTTACTCGGGGAGAAGGTGTTAGGCATTCCCCGAGTCCCGTGAAAGTCACGGTTGCGTACTCGGTCTAGTTGGCTTTTAAAATATTCAGATTGAGGTAGAAACACACAAAAAGCGAAAATAAACATAGAAAAGGCTCGAGGTTGTCCCCACCTATGAAAAGAAAAATTAAAAAAAATTAAAATTAAAATCCTAAGCTAACCTACACTATACTTACTCCACGGTGTAGCCTCGACCTCCGTTTACATTCACTTCGGGGCATACCCTGGAAAATAATAATATATACAAACTCCACGGGGCATTCTCCTGAATATAAACTAAAGAGAACAACCTCTTACCTCGGCAAAATAAAAAGAAGCGACCTACGATTTGCCTACCCGAGTGTGGTCGGCCTAAACATGTTTCTACCAATTAAATTGACAAAGTAGGCTTTAAAACAATTATTGCTCAATTTCTTTTCAATTCACTCAAACCCATAAGGCACCGACAATGAATTTCAGTTCCCTCAAACAAACTCCTTCCAATTTCAATTTCCTTCATAGTGGACACCTAATTAAACATGAATTCTTATAAAAATGCATACACCGGCAGTGAGCATTTGTGAAATTGTGGCACTACTGAACAATCATGTTAATCTCCACTAACCTAAGCAATGAAATTTTGTTTCCAAATTAGACAATTTAAGTTCAAGATATCATAAATGAGAATTAAATTCGCATCAATCTAACACCCAAATACCAGATAAGATAAAGTCATTAAATACAAGGAAAGGATAGTGATGAACCTCAAGTAGATTAATTTTTCATTGAATTAGATCACAGAACAGACCCCCAAAACAGAAGTGTACATCGGATCTCGATGGAAAATCGGCAACAAAGACATGGACCGGAAACCATCAACGGAAACGGAAACTCGAACAAGGACTTTCGACGACCAACGAACTTTAATGAGCCTTTCTAATTAAAAATATCGTTTGACCAATACACCCAAGAAATGTCGACGGCAAAATCAGAATTCCGGCAATTGAAATCCGATCGGAAACAAACAAATAGCTTCAGGAACTCGGACTGAAAATTTCGAATGGCGGCCTTAACCAAACTTTCACCAGAGCTTTGATGAAGCTTGACCAAGGAACGATTGAGCTAACCCTCCTTTTGACGACAAAAAGATTTAACCGAAACGAATGATTAACGAATGAAACTAGGTGGTTGAGCCACCGGATTTTTCGGTGAATTTAAGGTGCTTGGACAATGATTATTGAGGAGAAGAACGATAACTTGATTTTGTGGTTTACATGATTTTTGAGTGGAATCAATGGTTATGAAGAGATGTTCGAAATGGACAAAAATTATTTTCCCTGATTTTGAATCTCTCCTCTCTATTTTAATTCTTTTTGTGATGAAAGCTCCGTTTTCTCCTTTTTGACTCTAGCTATATGTGTATCAATTTTTTGTCCAGAAAGGGTGGCTGTTTTTGTTAGAGATCAAGTTGACGGCTTTCATCTAAGGGGGTGGTGTTGCGGCTGCTAGCTGGTGGAGATGAAGAAGAAAATGGTTGTTCGAGGTTTTTTCCTGAAGAATGGGGCTTCCGATTTTCTTTTGTTGAAGATGGAGAGGGCGCCGTTAGGTTAGGGGATTGGAGGGGGAAAATGTGGCTTATATTCATGTGGGCGAAAAGATATGGGCCGTTGGATCAGGGTGTTTGGGCGGCTGAGATTAAAAAATAAATTGGGGCGGGACAAAGGGGTCAGTCCGGTTCTGGGTTTTGTTAAAGGGAAAGGATGTTGGGCTAAGAGGCAATTTGGGGTAAATTTTGGGGCAATTGGGCCACTGAAAATAGTTGTGGCCCGATCCAAATTAAACAAGCTTTTTCTTTCTCTTTTTCTTGAATTTTTAGCTTACTAAATTTAATTAAACATCCTAAACTAAAATCTAATTTGTAAAATTACATTAATTGTTTATTTTTAACATAAAAATAATTAATTAACTTAAAGCTAATGAAAGGAAATTACTAATTTGCAACTAAAAGCTAAAAGTGTAAAAATGGCAATTATTTAATTAATTTTTGTTTAATGTAGCAATAAACTTATGTAATTAAATCCTAAATGCAATTAAAACCTAAAATGATATGCATGAAATATTTTAGACATTTTTGCTATTTTTCTCATGATTTAAAAATGTTAATATGCAACTAAATGCAAGCAACAATTAACAAAAAATTCCTAAAAATTCTATAAAAATTAAAATAATTGAAAAAGAAAAATATTTTGAATTTGTAGGAATATTTTCTGTCGGGCAAAAATCACGTGCTCACAGCTGCCCCTCTTTGCTCGGAAACACGAAGAGTTTTCGGGCAAAGATAAAGTGAGCGAATATGAGCGATTTTTTTCCCGTTTTGATAATCCATGGGAAGCATTATGAGAAAGTTTGACCGAACCTCGCTTCTGAAGTTGCCTACATATCCTTGGCTATAAAGGAATCAGGTCAGTGTAGTTCTGCAAAATGATGAAAGGATGAGTAGGGGAGTCGAATGAGGTACAGTTCGAGGCTTCGGTCCGTGGCCCTGTTATTACATCAAAATCTAAAATGAAAAAGACTAACTAAACCTGTCAGCAATGAGTTACAAGATTCCTATCTATAGGTCTTCAAAAACTTGATCTTGAATCTTCTATAGTTCTGCTGTGCATCTCGAACTATTGACTCGCACTCTCGAGGCGAGCTCTGTTACTTCTAACTAGAATTGACCCTATTCTTCAGGCGGGATCCTATTGTTGTCTTGGACTTGAACTTAACTCTGAAATGAATTACTTCGCTCTCCAGGTGGGTGCCTGATACTGAATTGGATTTTGAAATAATTCCCTCATTCTCTATGTGGGTGCCTGCCAATAACTTGAAATAATTCCCTCATTCTCCAGGTGGGTGCCTGCCCGTGACTTGAACTTGAAATTAAACCCCATTATCCATGAGGGTCCGAAAAAACTTGAAATCAAATCCCATTATCCAGGAGGGTCCTGAAAAACTTGAAATTAAATCTCATTATCTAGGAGGGTCCTGAAAACTTTAAAACTAAATCCCATTATCCAGGAGGGTCCTGAAAACTTGAAACAAAATTCCATTATCCAGGAGGGTCCAGAAAACTTAAAACTAAATCCCATTATCCAGGAGGGTCCTGAAAACTTAAAACTAAATCCCATTATCCAGGAGGGTCCTGAAAACTTAAAACTAAATCCCATTATCCAGGAGGGTCCGGAAAACTTAAAACTAAATCCCATTATCAAGGAGGGTCATGAAAAATTAAAACTAAATCCCATTATCCAGGAGGGTCCTGAAAACATGAAACTAAATCCCATTATCCAGGAGGGTCCTGAAAACTTAAAACTAAATCCCATTATCCAGAGGTCATGAAAATTAAACTAAATCCCATTATCCAGGAGGGTCCTGAAAACATGAAACTAAATCCCATTATCCAGGAGGGTCCTGAAAACTTAAAACTAAATCCCATTATCCAGGAGGATCCTGAAAACTTGAAACTAAATTCCATTATCCAGGAGGGTCCTGAAAACTTAGAACTAAATCCCATTATCCAGGAGGGTCCTGAAAACTTAATACTAAATCCCATTATCCAGGAGGGTCCTGAAAACTTGAAACTAAATCCCATTATCCAGGAGGGTCCTGAAAACTTAAAACTAAATCCCATTATCTAGGAGGATCCTAAAAACTTAAAACTAAATCCCATTATCCAGGAGGGTCTTGAAAACATAAAACTAAATCCCATTATCCAGGAGGTTCCTGAAAACTTACAACTAAATCCCATTATCCAGGAGGGTCCTGAAAACATAAAATTAAATTCCATTATCTAGGAGGGTCCTGAAAACTTGAAATTAAATCCCATTATCCAAGAGGGTCCTGAAACTTGAAATTAAATCCCACTATCAAGGAGGGTCCTGAAAACTTAAAAC